ATATATATATATGAAAATTTTCATAAAGTTAAACAAACTGTTTTCGCAATCGCAAGTCGATACACCGGGACGACGTGGACCGAGATTAATCGGCTATAGTTATCGGTTATCTGGCCGAAGCGGAGAGCGAGGAGGCGCGGGACGACGCGTTATAACGTCGGTTGTCGTTAAATACTTCCCTGTTGTCACGCTAATGGGCGATATCTGTATAATGCAACCAAAATACCGCTGACAATAAATTACGCAAGTTCGGCGTAACTAGCCAGACCGTAACCGTGATTACGTTGCGAGGAACTATAATCATTATAACGGTATCTACGTAATGGTTTGCATTCCGTCGTAGATATATTACCATAATATCGTTCGCCGGTGACGTCGCATTTACAGATGCTCATTACATTAATTTCCTAATAGGAAAACTCGCCACGATGTCGCTGCCTCCATTTATTTGTTATTTTCTATTTTTCGATAACGTGCTGGGTGTTACGTTAATTTCCTTGAAGAAAATTCACGATGGTATCGTCGCCTCGAACGATTATATATTAACAATAAGATTGGAAATAAGAGTTTATTAAATACATTACTTTAAATATGAAGCGCCACTACGATCTGAATGTTAAGATGTTGAATTATTATATATATTCATTTAAAATAAATTAATTTCAGAAATGATAATTGTGTGCCGATATGGTTATCGCAATAAGTTTTTTAAAATTAAATTTGGGAAATTTGGGGGATTATTAATATTTCAGATTGATTGCGTTGAAAGTCCGACAACATCGGCACGCAATTATTATTTCTGAAATTAATTCATTTGAAATGAATATATATAATATATATAAAATTCAACATCTTAACATATATATAATTTAAAGTAATGAATTTACATATTATTTTTTGTTTTTGATAACAAAGTGCACCTTATATTAATTTCCCAGATAAAAATTTAACTCATTTACTTCCAATGACTTACTTAATGTGTTATTTTTCATTTTCAATAATGTGCTTGGTTACGTTAATGTCCTAGAAAAAAATTATTGTAATGGTATCTCGTTGTCCACGAGCAATTTATATATTATTTTAATAAAAAGAATATATATTTTGTTTTAATTTCCTAGATGAAAGTTTGATAGTGTCATTGCTTCGAACTTACATATTATTCTCTGTTTTCGATAACATCGTGTGTTATATTAATTTTCTAGTGGAAAATTCATCGCGGTAGCGTCGTTGCTTCGAGCAATTTTCTTCGTTAAAATGGAACGCGTATTATATTAATTTCCTAGAAGAAAATTCGCCGTGATGTCTCACTGCCTCGCGCGATTTACATTATTATTTTCCATTTTCGATAACGTATTGCGCATTATATATATATTAATATCTTAAAAAAAAAATTTATCGCAGTAGTATCGTTATCTCAAGCGTGTTATATATTTTTCCGTTTTTCAATAATATTTAAATTTCATTTAAATTTCAATAAAGTTTTTCAATATTTAAAAACAAATTCTTTTTCGCAAATACGCTCATCGAGCCACCCCGATACTCATGGCGTATGAATATAAAAGCGATCGTTTAACGAGACGGCGGGAGACATTTCGAGCGATTTAAATAGTTTGGTCCATAGCGTTCGCATCCTATATGTCAAGTTGTTCGTCTTCGGTAGACAAGATGGCTTCGTTCGGTAGGAAGGGCTAACCGAGTTACATAGACGTCTCCTTGGCAGCAACCAAGAAGGAGGTATCGAGAGGAGGGTGAGTAGGGTGGAGGGCACACAGAAGACGGAGACGGAGACCGCCTCAACGTCTTTAGACTCGAGCGAGCTACGTAAGGAACCCCGACGCGCGACGGGGAGATATTCATTCCCTCCTTCGATGCCTCTCTTTCGCCGTCCCGTTTCGACTCCCGCTTACGTCTCTCGGCGAGAGAATTGCTCAATTACCCGCTAAGTGCTCGGTCAGACCTATATTCTCGATTGTACTCGCCGCTAAGGGCTATCGTAGGCCGTAGCGGCGCGTGCCATGATTCCGACTTTTATTCAAATATAGAGAAACGCAAAAACGATATTTGTCTGTATTATCGCGAAAATATTTGCGGCACGATAACGCAGACTGACAATGAAAGCGATGTAAAGAAAATTTGTTACAATAATTACGTTCCGCTTGCAAACGTCGGATGCGACTTGTAGTGTTGCTCCGACAATCTCACCGCGATTCAAGGGAAATATTAAACCTCCGGAGTAAGGATAGAGAAGCATAGATTATCGATATTTCTTATCAATATAAATTGAAATACGCAATATCGAAATATGGCAATATATTGATTGAAAATGATTCGATATTAGGAATATTATCACTTTTTTTTGCATGTTTTATTATATAGAGACGTGCGGAGAATACAAACTTTTGATTTAAAAAAAAATTTTTTTTAATTACTAGGTAATTCACTAATTTATCAATAAAATTATAAATATTTTAGTAAATTTATATATAAAATAGAAATGAGAGACAGATTTTAATGAGAATAAAAAGTTATGCATTTATATATTTTATATAATACATATAAGTCTATCAACTAACAAAGATAATGCGAAACATAAAATTTCTTTTAATTTTATTCATGATGGCGTTGATCGCGATGTCGTAAACTGTCCCCGAATTGACTATCCTTGTTACGTTTATGCGGTTAAATTTTGGAAATATAACTTTTTTATCGATTCAATTGATATCTACGTTTCAGATCCGATATGCGGAAACTAAAAGTTTCGATGCAAATATCAAATATCAAAAGGAGTAATGATACGATATTTCAAAATATCGATTACATCGGAACATTCTTATTCCGGAGCTGACTCCAAAATCTGTAATACAGTTACTGGCTCTGCAAGATTCATTTAATTTATGTTAATTAAAAAATATTAATTAATTTCAAGAAAATGAGGATAAATCTAAATATTAAATATATTTAGTATCAAAACTGCCGATGGTGATTCCGCCATTTTGACTCCGTTAATCATTTCTCTTTTTTCTTTTTTTGCATCAGATATACAGAATATAGAAGATGTAATATAAATAATTCTAATAATAAAAAAAGCTCTTCAAAAACAAGGATAGAAAATTATCAAACCGACATCTCCAGCAATTCTAGCGGAATATACCATCGGCGGTTCTAGTGTTAAACAAGAATATAATTCAGATTTGCAGATATGTGACATAAGAAAACTATAAGAGAACTATAAGGGAATGATTTGATATTGTTGACACAAAGAATGGATGAAATAGATCCTCTGGAGTCTCAGCTCCGGAGGGATACAATTGAGTGGGTCCAACAGACCACGTCATGTACTTACGTCATGTCCGGAGGACTAATTGACGATTATTTGGTGATGTTGACAGAACGTCCGGTAGACTTTTCGCTGAGTGGCGGCCGCGAGTCGCGCGCGAGCAGTGACGCGCCCGCGGACTCCGACGACGAGGACGATGACGAGATCGACGTGCTGGGCGATGAAACACCATCGCCGACGCCAACACCAACGGCGACGCCGACTCCGATGCCGGCGCCGGCGCCGACGCCTACGCCGGCTCCAACGCCGACCTTGACGTCGACGTCGACGGTTTCGACCCCGACGTCGACGTCGCGTACCGGCACTCTGCCGTCTCTCTCAAGACGCGACACGCCACCAAGGATCCTTCACACGGCGATTCATCCGCACTCGCATTCGCATTCTCATCCGCATCCGCATCCGCATCCGCATCCGCATCCGGTCAGCCTTCATCATCAACACGGCCAGCATTCCGCCCAACGTCAGCATCGCTGAGACACGTTACGACGTCACCGCTTGTCTTTTATCAGAATCACGACAGCCACGCGTAGAAAAGAATGGATGATCTTTGTCCGTGGTTATTGGATACCATTCCCGTCGGTATCCTCGCGACGATCGGATCTACCGAGAATTTATCTTAGGCTAAAGCTCGTCGCATAACGGAGAACACGGAATTCGGTAGAGATTATCTCCGCTCGAAGGACCGAGAGGAGAGAAATCAACGGTCTTCGTGCAAGTTTTTAAACGGTATTTACTTACCTGTCACTGAAATAATTCGCGCTATTCAACGCAGAACGATATCGTTGCTGGAGCGTCGCTGGATTTTTCCCGCTTGCGTAACGTAATAAATAGAGAAGAAAAAGAAAAAAGAAAAGGAATGGAGTTTTTGCCGGTTCCAAAATCTCTACTTTTTATAGTGAAATACGGTAAATAAATACGGTATTTGGTCTGTTGTTACTTTTTATAGTCAACTGTGTAAAAAATAGGCCGTGGTTTTCGTTGAGAATTAAACTGTCATGCTCTGACGCGATGATGTGTATTCTTCTGTTTCTCCTCGATTTATCTTTTCCCAGGCAATTTTCTGAAACTTTGAGTGCGTAATATATTTTTTGGAGGCGAGAAAGAGAGAGAAAATCAAATATTTTGAATCGGAAAGACGCGCGAGTTGTCCATTTTTACCAATGTAGATTAACTTTAATTTCGGTTTAACTTACTCTTTATCTTTTCCTAATGCCCGTTTCTATCAATGTAGCTTAACTTTAATCTTGAGTTGACTAACTTTTCGTCTTAATTCTAATGCCCAATTTCTTCACCTTTAGATATTTTTATCCAGATTTCTCCCAAATTACAATGGAGATGCATATCTCCTGGATGAAATTATTTGCAACTTATCTGAAAGTTAAGAAATTAAATAAGCATAAAAATTAAAGAATAAACTGAACCAAAATTAAAGTTAATCTACAAGTTAATCTATCAATCCTATTTAAAATTATACTCGTTTTCAGCAATGTAGATAAACTTTAATCTCATTCTTATTCTTTTCTAATTCTTAGAATTAGAAAAATAAAGAGTAAATTAAAGTGAGCTCCATGCTTAACTTAAGTTAAAGCTAGTCTACTTTAGCAGAAATGAATATTTCTGTCAGTGTAATTAAATTAACTTAATAAATTAATTTTAATCTCGATTTAACTTATTCTTTACCTTTTTCTAATTCTATTTAAAATATATTATGCCCTTTTGTGCTCTAATAGATAAATTCTAATTTCAGTTCAATTTATTCTTTATCTTTTTTTATATTCAAATAGAATTGGAAAAAGATTAAGAACAAATTGAATCCACAATTAAAATTAATCTACATTGATAAGGACGGGGATTAGTAAAAGATAAAGAGTTGTGTGAATTAAACCGAGATTCAAATTAGTAGAAATAAACATTAGGATGTTGCTTCTCGATAACATTTTACGGGTCGCGTGGCGCGCATCGACATTGACATTTAATTGCACCACGGAGTCTCTTTACGCGATCGTTTCGTTAATGATCGGTATGACATTTCGATGCCTCGGAGACATTTTCGCAAAAGTTAATGAGGCATCGACAATGGGAGGGATGGAATAATCGCGAGATCCGCTTCGTTGACGCGTTGACTATCATCACTATAAAGTACTACTGTCCATATTAGACTAGAAATTAGAATTGAGATTGAGATTGAATTTGATCAATCAAAGCAAAGTTTATTAAACATGATCATGATTTTTTCTAATTGGTTAACCCATAAATGACACCTAGATGCGAATTAGCACCAGGAAAATTTTCAACTTGCGCATTTGACAAAATTAGTTTTGCTTTTTGAATGAATAACATTTTGTTTTTTGAAAATTCAATATTACCAATCTCTCGATTAGTTAGAAAATTTTACATTGAAAAATATAGATTTTTAATTTAGATTTTCAGAAGATATAAAATATTAAAAACATCTGGTGCAAGAATTCACATTCAAGTATCATTTACAAGTGTTTTTTGTGGATTAAAATTCAATTTCAATCTTAATCTCATTCGATAAGATGTATCCAATTTACTGAGAGGAACGAATTAATTCGGGAATCTAACTTTTTTTGCGTAAACGATCATCTAAGATGTTTTTTTACTCCAATTAAAAATTACTATTATTAATCGCACATTACATATTATCAATTGTTCTACAATTTGTTATAATATTTGAAATTATTATGTTACTCTCCAGGCCAAAGTGTGAAACTTTTAAAAAAATTGACATTTTTGGGATCACTTATTCGAATGTGTTTTTTTTATAATAATTTTTTAAATAATTGTTATTTGAAGAATTGTTATTAAAAAGTACATTATTTGAATGTTTGAATAAATAATTTCAAAAATGCTCATTCAAACAAAATATTTCCAAACTTTTGGCTAAAAGTATATATATATAAATTTATTTAATATTTTTTAAGCAATGTAAGGAGAAATAAAAAAATAGATACGAATTTTCAATTAGTAGAGAAAACTATTTCGATCGGGCTTTATTTTCTTCCGAGATGTAATTATTCCAGATAACTTTCTCGGATTATATAGATATGACCCGTAATTACGACGATCGAGCACGAGTTAATTAGTGCTTTCACGTGATTGCGAAACAATCGCAGGATTTTTGCTACCTGTTGCAATGACATTAGATCGGCAAGATTGGCAAGTGGCTGTTAAGAAAAGAGACGATATTACATGGAACGGTAGAGATTTTCCAACGAGCGTGCGCGTGTCAAGCGGGTGGTGAGGCGCCTGCGGGGCACGTCGTGCTTCCAGTTGGGGTGAATCCTAATACCTAGATAATAGGAAATAATTGCGAGGGATCAGAGCGAGCGAAGCTACTCTGTCGGCTGTCGGGTTCGGGGGCAGCGGGATGCGTATAGTCGTATACTCGTATAGGAAGAGGAAAGGGAGAGAGGGGGAGAGCTGAGAGAGGATGGCGCCGCGTTTCCATCCCTCCGTTCCCTCTTCCCGCTCCTCTCCTTCTCTATTTGCCCTTCTCGCCGTCGATTCGCGGGGGTGGAGAAAGAGGACGAAGAGAGGATCGTAATCGTGTTATCGGGACGAAATCACGAGGTACATTCTCGGATATACATCGGGTAGATGGATACGCGGCATTGCGACTGTACGCGAGACCAATCCGCGTGGAGATTTACTTCCGGCGAGAGAGAGGGTGAGTTTGTATCGATGTCGCGTGCTTCGTAGTGCGTTTGAATTCTCGAAGGAAACGCTCTTTCAGAATTTCACAATTTCTTCCAAACGACATATTGGAGTAATACTCGCGAACGAAACGCTAAAGTTGCGCAAGGCCTTTGCAGGCAAGGCAAGGCAAGGGGAGGTCTTTGACGACTCTAAAATCTGACGCGCGTTCTGTTTCTAAAAGTAGCTGTGGGATGGAGGGGGACTTGGCCTTTGATGTGCAGGAAGATAACGTTGGCGTTGTTTAGAGGAAGAAACACACCCGAGCTGGCCAGGTAAGCTGGTAAGCTAAATGAGATCACGGTGCCATTTATGACGTTTATTAGATTCCGTTAAGACGTCTATTATTACGGTACGTAAATAAAAGGGGGAGAATTCGCGCCCCTCGTCGAGGGAGACGAAGCGGAATGCGGCGAAAATAATGAAATAAAGGACAATGAAGTGGCAGGTACAATGGCCAATAGGGCATAGAACGAGAGGACGGGCAAGGCGCCAGCGGGCGATGAGGCCTCTCTCTCTCTCTCTCTCTCT